TGTATCGCACAAGTTATAGTGAGAATACAGGCGACTACATGTCCGTGGAAGAAACCCGTAGGCGGTTCGTTCTGTTTTAATCTGTGCTGACTGATTTTTGCACAATTAAACAGGTGTGTTTGCATCAGTGGCACGGAAAATCATTTCCACTAATTCCCTCGCATCTGATTGGTTGATATTAATAGAATGTACGGCAAGTACTCCGTCGTCTCCCGCCGGTTCGATGCGTGCTGCTGGAACGGTTCATATCACATCTCATGGTAATCGTAGGACATCAGGACAACACGCAGATGAACTCAAGGTATTACGTGTGCATAGTGTCCAGTGACTGTACTGTGTGATTATTATTTATTTTTATATCATATATATATATATATATAAGTCAGTTTGTTGGTTGCTATTATCGTGTATATAATTCTACTGGTCTACATAATCGTCTATATACACATTCAAGCACACACGGCACAACTGAGTCTTTTTCGTAGTGTATGGCGTTTTCTAGGTCCCTTCACCAGACATAGCACTACAGTTTAACAGCTGTAATTTTTTTTCTCTGCGATTGAAAAACTTATGCAGCGCATGTGTAAAATGCTATTGTGTCCGCTCTGTTATATTTCTTTTGTGGAGGAATACTCAGCGATAAACCAAGTTTATGGCAACTGTAAACCATATCTTTTCTTCTTCTCGAATCACAGCAATATTGCCATAGTTTGGGGACCTAATCTATTGCGACCACTCAACAGCCGACCGGTAGACGCATTCATACACATGAAAGCACAAGTGAGTCTGTGCCAAATGCTCATCGAATGCTACGACCAAATCTTCACCACCGACCCCATCGATCTGGTATGAATACATATACATCCATATTTATATATATATATATATATATATCTTACAAATATACAATATGTGATAGGTTTCTAAGGTTCTAGGGTTCTAACCTCTTGTATAGCATACGCTCACATTATCTGCCCACGTGGATAGGTTGTTCCACAGGAGGCACGTACACACGTGGAGAAGGGTGTGGGCAAAACCATTGCGGAAGACTTCGATGAAACTGAAGACGTGGGATTCATTATGGACGGAGATGACGAACTCTCCGAGGTACGTTGATAGTGCATACTGTGCGCCTGTATACGGGTCACAAGACAAACACGAGACGTTATTTTCTTACCTGAGATAATGAGTATACCTCCTGGTGACATGGCATCCGTAGTAGTATGTGTATGCCCACTACAATGCCACTCACACAGGTGTCTATGATGTGCCTGTACATGAAGGCAAGTATATACCCTACATATCCCGGGGGTGGTGTGTGGGTTGGGGGGTTGCTGTTAAGGCAGAGCGGAGTGTGGACAATATAATATTTGAACAACTTAATCCAGTCTACACACTGCCAATATAGGTTGATACTAAGCTGCCTCGAATGACTTGTGGTGTTCTGTGTGGTTTCGGCCTGCGTCTCATATAGTTGAATTTAATTGGGTCTGTTTGTATATAATTCGATATCGTGGGCTATGACTAGGTGTACTTTGCTAATATTGGGTATTTGATGTATTTGACTAAGTTGATATAGTTTGAGGTATTTTGAACTATACGCGGTGTTGATACACTTGCACAAGCGGCGTGACTGCAGCATACGCAAAACCAATGCACCTGTGAAACCTGTGTAAGAGTATGTGCACATAAAGCTCATACACAGCACCATTCACGAGTAATACTGAAATGAAGTGATCTAATGACTACATGTATAGTCCACAAAAGTCACACACAA